GAATTGGGTTTGGATTTGGATTCGTATGCTAGGTTTGGATTTGGATTTGGACTTGTATAGTATATTTGGATTAGAATTGTGGTTTGTACCTAGGGTTTGGACGGTGGTTTGGATTTGTAGTTTAGACTTGGCATTGGGTTTGGATTTGTTTTTCGGTTCTCCCAAATCTACCAAATAGTTTTGGATTTGTTAAGACATCCATCTACATATTGTTCAGTGTGTGGTCCTCAAGCCCTACTATTGGGGGGGTACCCTTAGGTCCTCAAGCCCTACTATTGGGGGGTACCCTTAGGTCCTCAAGCCCTACTATTAGGGGGTACCCTTAGGTCCTCCAGTCCTACTTTTCGGGGGTACCCTTAGGTCCTCAACCCCTACTATTCGGGGGTTCCCTTAGGTCCTCCAGTTCTACTATAAGGTGGTACTCTTAGGCCCTCCAGTCCTACTATTGGGGGTACGCTTAGATCCTCAAGCCCTACTATTGGGAGTACCCTTGACTCCTCCAGTAATACTATTGGGGAGTACCCTTAGGTCCTCAACCCCAACTATCTGGGAGTACCCTTACGTGCTCCAGTTCTACTATTGAGGGTACGCTTAGGTCCTCCAGTCCTACTATGGGGGGTACCCTTAGGTCCTCAACCCCTACTATTAGGGGGTACCCTTAGGTCCTCCAGTTCTACTATTAGGGGGTACTCTTAGGCCCTCCAGTCCTACTATTGAGAGTACGCTTAGGTCCTCCAGTCCTAGTATTGGGGGTACCCATAGGTCCTCAACCCGTACTATTAGGGGTACCCTTAGGTCCTCCAGTTCTAGTATTAGGGGGTACTCTTAGGCCCTCCAGTCCTACTATTGAGGGTACGCTTAGGTCCTCAAGCCCTACTATTGGGAGTACCCTTGACTCCTCCAGTACTTCTATTGGGGAGTACCCTTATGTCTTCAAGCCCTACTATTAGGGAGTACTGTTAGGTCCTCAAGCCCTACTATAAGGGGGTACCCTTAGGTCCTCCAGTCCTACTATTGGGGGATACCCTTAGGTCCTCAAGCCCTACCATTACGGGGTACCCTTAGGTCCTCGAGTCCTACTATTGGGGGGTACCCTTGGGTCCTCAAGCCCTACTATTAGGGGTACCCTTAGGTCCTCGGGCGACTTACGTTTCGTCTCACTTCTTACGAACACCGGTAAATGTTACCGGGTGTTCGGAGATGATTTTTTTCGTAGAAATTTATGACGGTAGTTCGTAAACACCTATGTACCGGAGGTCGTAAGAGATAGCAGGAAGATCGTAATGTGTTTACCGGGTGTTCGGAATAGAGTATTTTTTGCTGTATTTTATGTAATACCTGAAGATCGGAATGAGCACGGTCGGATGTTCGGAAAGTAATTCTCAGAGGACTTTAACATGGAGTTCGTAAAAGAATTTATCAGAAAATTGTAAATGATATAAAGACTTTCTGTTTTTATAGACAATAATAAATCGCATTTTTGATTACTTTCATAATTATATGAGTAGGAGATTATTCTTTCTTTACCTATACTCTCTATGCTCTAGTTTTAGAAGTTGTTTCTAATATTCGTCTTTTAATCTATCCATGATACCAAGATGTGTCAACAGTCCAGGTGAAAATAAAATATACTATAAAGTAAAAAAGGACAGTGTCTACTTTCAAATATGATTGGCTATACAAGTAAATGGCCAGTAAAGATAAATCAGACTGACCCTGCATAGAGAAGTGAAAAGTATACATTTCGAAACTATACTATGATAAAGAAGTGGGTTGGTTTTCTTTTATTGCTTATTTCTAGAAAATGATTCAAATGAATAGAATCTTTTTTCTTGTTGGAGTCTAACTTTACTTCGTCGTCCTCTTCCACATCATCTTATCAACAATGTCTCACTGCTACAACATCGAACAATAAACAAATAGCTAGAGTCAAGAAGCGTAGACATCCATCAAAGCATGAATGGAGCGATGATGTACATTAACACTAGAGTTATGAATAAACATGTATATCTTTTCTTTCAATAAAACTGACATTTGTTATAGAGTGTATTGAAGGAATTAGGAGAATAGTAACTAACACTAGAATTATAATAGTGAACAGAAGCACAAGCTTGATTGCTTGAATTCATCGAAGCGTTCTCTATACATGATTTTAGGTTGCGAAACTAGGATATCACTTCATATTCTCTCACACGAGAACAAAAATTAACATACTTACGACAATTGTGTCGTTTTTTTATTACGACCCTCATGTCTTCGTCATTACGACCATCCGGACATTCGGATTCCGATGTTCAGCCAAATTTTGATGTTCGTAAAGAGAAAAATTTATATGGAGTTCCGAATCAATTCTGAAAATAGCTTTTTCAATGGTTATAATCGTTGAAAAAGCTATTGTAAAAATTGATTCCGAACTCCTGCACAGGCTTCATTCCGAACACCCTGTATTTTTGTTGTATTTCATTTACGAACTCCATTCCGAACACCATGACATTTTCTTCAAGTTCGGGGATCGTAAGCACACTAATTTACCAGGAGGTCGTAAAAATGGGGTGAGACGAGATGTCATTTTCCCAGGTCCTCCACTCCTACAATTGGGGTACCCTTAGGTCTTCAAACCCTACTATTAGGGGGTACCCTTGAGTCCTCCAGCACTACTATTGGGTGGTACCCGTAGGTCCTCTAGTCCTACTATTGGCGGGTATCCCAATCCTAGGACTTGAGGACCCAAGGGTACCTCCCAATAGTAGGGCTTCAGGCCCTAAGGGTACTCCTAATAGTAGGACTTGCAGACCCAAGTGTACCCTCCTATAGTAGGACTTGAGGACCCAAGGGTCTGTCCCAATTGTAGTACTGGAGGCCTGAAGAGTACCCCCTAATAGTAGGCCTTGAGGATCTAAGGGTCCCACGAACAGTAGGACTGGAGGATCTAAGGGTACCCCCTAATAGTAGGGCTTGAGGACCTAAAGGTACCCCCAATAGTAGGACTGGATGACCTAAGGGTATCCACTAATAGTAGGGTTTGACGACCCAAGGGTACCCCTAATAGTAGGACCTGAGGACCTTAGGGTACCCCCTAATGGTAGGTCTTGAGCACCTAAAGGTACCCCCAATAGAAGGGCATGAGGACCTAAGGGTACCCCTAATAGTAGGAGTGGAGGACCTAAGGGTACCCCCTAATAATAGGTCTTGAGAACCCAAGGGTACCCCCCAATAGTGGGGCTTGAGGACTCAAGGGTACCCCCTAATAGTAGGGCTTGAGCACCTAAAGGTACCCCCTAATAGTAGGGCTTGAGGACCTAAGGGTACCCCCTAATAATAGGTCTTGAGAACCCAAGGGTACCCCCCAATAGTGGGGCTTGAGGACTCAAGGGTACCCCCTAATAGTAGGGCTTGAGCACCTAAAGGTACCCCCTAATAGTAGGGCTTGAGGACCTAAGGGTACCCCTAATAGTAGGACTGGAGGACCTAAGGGTACCCCCTAATAGTAGGGCTTGAGAACCCAATGGTACCTCTCAATAGTGGGGCTTGAGGACTCAAGGGTACCCCCCAATAGTAGGGCTTGAGGACCTAAGGGTACCCCCCAATAGTAGGGCTTGAGGACCTAAAGGTACCCCCTAATAGTAGGGCTTGAGGACCCAAGGGTACCCCTAATAGTAGGACTTGAGGACCTAAGGGTACCCCTAATAGTAGGACTGGAGGACCTAAGGGTACCCCCTAATAGTAGGGCTTGAGGACCTAAGGGTACTCCCCAATAGTAGGGCTTGAGGACCTAAGGGTACCCCTAATAGTAGGACTGGAGGACCTAAGGGTACCCCCTTATAGTAGGGCTTGAGGACCTAAGGGTACCCCCCAATAGTATGGCTTGAGGACCTAAGGGTACTTGTATAGTATGGCCAAATCCAAATGGTTTGGGGCGTTGAGCACTAATTCTAAAACAAATCCAAACCAAATCCAAATCGAAAACCAAGCAGTGGATAACAAATCCAAACCAAATCCAAACACCACGTATCAAATCCAAATCCAAACCAAGACCAAATCCAAATCTTATTTCGAATCCAAATCCCTAATACCAAATCCCAAGTACTCGGGTTTGTTGCATCCCTAATTGTGCACTGCATCTATATTAAATGTTTATCATTTAGTGTAAATATATATAAGAATACATTATGAGAATGACATCTACACGGACAAACAAAATCAAACTATTTTCTCAACATTATCGTTTTACTATCGTCAATATTCATCGAATGTTTTTTTATAATTTCATAAATATCACAAACAAAGCGTAATAATAAGATCTTACATCTAATGACAAAATCTAATGTCTACGAGAACATAAAATTTTCAGCGCTCTCTCAAGCGTATCATGGATTATTCATGAGATGAGTTACTGCATTATGCTACAATCAGTTACACTCAACCCTTTTCTCTTTGATTTGTTCTTTCTATTCGTGAGTCACCAATATTACGTCTGAAATCGTCAGTTGTTGTCTCAAACTTCCGAGCGATGAGTCATTGTTACACAAAAAGAGTATAAAAAACAGCAACCTCTTTCATAATACTTCGTTCATTCTTGCTTAACATACAGTTATTTCTTCTCATCGTTTACTTGCTATTCAATACTCATAATGCAAATCTTCGTAAAAACTCTCACTGGAAAAACTATCAGACTTGAAGTCGAAGCAAGCGACACGATTGAAAATGTCAAAGTCAAAATCCAAGATAAAGAAGATATTCCACCTGATCAACAACGTCTCATTTTTGCCGGTAAACAACTCGAAGATGGCCGTACACTCAGTGATTACAATATCCAAAGAGAAAGTACTCTTCACTTAGTTCTTCGATTACGTGGTGGTATGCAAATTTTCGTGAAAACTATCACTGGCAGAATAATAACACTCGAAGCTGAACCAAGTGAACCAATCGAGAATGTCAAAGCCATAATCGCTGATAAAGAAGGCATTCCACCTGATCAACAACGTCTTGTCTTTGCCGGTAAAAAACTCGAAAACGGCCGTACACTCAATGATTACAATATCCAAAAAGAAAGCACTCTTCACTTAATTCTTCCATTATGTGGTGGTGCTCAATAAACAATTTTCGAGAGTGTCCAGGTCATCAGATTATTTTGGATCCTTTTTTTTTGTTATGTGTCTGATTCGTTATTTGACTTTGAATATTCCTTCAGTATATTAATCTAACTGTTTTTGTCAGTAATAAATGTACTAAATGGATGCAAATGCAAATCGTGACTTTATTTCGTGAATTAAAAAGCATGGCATCTATAGTTTTTTAAGAACAAAAAAAAGCATTCTGTCAGTTTCATTCTTCAAAATTGTAAAGAATTATATTTGAGCTTCCAAAAAGAAAAACGTACGAAAAATATAAACATCGAAGGAAATTCTGTAGAAAGAAAAATTAAATTAATTTGTACTTAGGAAACTTTCTGAAACACTAGTTAGCAATTTCTGGATAAAGCTATGAGACTGTTCAGTGATTGTCGAGCCAATCTGATTTACTTTCGTATGAAAAAGGAAGATCTTAGTCAAATTTAATCGATGAGAATACTCTACTGTTTCTCAGTGTGGAGATAATCTTCTGAAATTTTTAAAAACTTATTGAAATTAAAAAATTTAAGAGTTTAAATACTTGTTCTCATTTGAATAATACATTAGTATCTATCGACAGTACTTAAATGGTAATTTTCATATCTAATGAAGTTTCTTGTGAAGCACTTCTTATCTAAAATTAATTCAAAACTTCTTTACTTTTGAGAATTATCTATTAAACTCTAACATGTATGTTTATTTTAGAATTCATCTCGAATATAAAATAACTCAATACGGAACATTTTCTCTTGGTCATTTCATTGTTTTTTTGTATGTGTTGAAGTTAGTTTTTCATTTAGGAATATGAGATAATAATTTATGATTCTGTTACTTTTTATATTCATAATAGCTCTATGGCATTGTGAGAACTTGAAGAACGTTATTTGCTTTGAAAATCTTCTCGTTTTACTTAAGTTTTGGTGAAAATAAAACTAAGTAGATCAGTTCTAGTTGATATAATTATCTGTTTGTCACAATTTGTATATTTATGTTCACCTGTATCAATGTTAGCTAGACAGTGAGAAACCAAATAACTCCCGTGAAACTCAACATTAACAATTTAGTTCCTATAGATACTTTATTTCGCAATGATCACTCGTGTAAGCAAAACTAGTTCTCTACTTCAAAAAATAACAATTTGGGTGTTAATACAAATTCTATGTTATATGCATCCGTTCAACTATTTTGTTGATGATTTCGAATGTATCTAAAATAAATATAATCAAGGCGGCCCAATATTCTTATATAATGTTATTGATAGTGATGCAATTAGTATCATATTAGTATCGACTACATTAGATGAAGTAAAAGGTGTGGGTGGGTGGTGTGTGGGTGGATGTGGGTATGAGTGTGGGTGTGGGGTGTTGATGTGGGGTGTTGATGTGGGGGGTGGGTAAAAGGGTATGTGGGTGTGGGCATGGGTATGTGTGAGGTGTATGTGGGTGTGGGCATGGGTAGATGTGAGGTGTGGGTGGGGGTGGGTTGACGCGGAGGTAGGTGGGGGTGGGTCGACGTGGAGGTAGGTGTGGGTGGTGTGGCGTGGATGTTGGGTGTGGCTGTGGGTTTGGGTGTGGATGTTGGGTGGGTGTAAGTGTGCGGGTTGGGTGTGGGGTGGGGTGAGTATGGAGGTGGGTTCAATTGCTCTTTCTATTCATATCCACACCTATTCGCATCCACCCACACACCCTCAGACGCACGCACACCCACCCCACACCCACACCCACTCACCCCATACCCACCCGCACCCACACCCACCCCACTCTATTCATCGATATGGTTGTTCTTAGTATCAATCAGGATGGGATTTCTCGAGAGTGTGAATTGTGTATGTATTTAGGTTAGTATACATTATTGCCTGCGTATAATATCTTGCTTTCTTCATTATTTACTGATCATGACATATGATTATTATTGAACATGAAACTTTCCGGTCGCATTTGTTAAAAACTAACCTGTTTGTCATGAATTTTTTATGATATCATGTTTCCATTGACGTTAATGAATTTTCTGTCTCGGTTATAAAAGAGAATGACGATCAACAATTAAGATTTTAGCTTTCTATTGCATTTTAAAAGAAATCAATTGACGTCAGTGAACTAGGAAAGGTAAGACTAAATCAGTGTGTTCTACCGATTTATATGAGTAATCATCTGAAGTATAAATATTTGGTACATAGATCGGAGAAAACCATTTCAAATGCTTTCAAATTATTCTGAATTAAAAGTTTGATATTATTATGAACTAACAATTAGGAATTAATTTAGATACAAATTTTTTAGCGTTCGACATTGCTAGTTTCTATCAATTTTCTGTATAGCGAACACTTCAGAATAGTGAAATGTATTCGAGACAAAATAGAGAATATTTTCTGTTACGTTTGCAAATCTGTATTGTAATATTTTCTAGAATAATTAGTGTCAAACATATTGTTTGTTGAATTCCTTGTGCGATAAAAGCTGACTGTATGATAATTAGTTCATGTGCTTCTTTATTTTTGTTACAGTTTGGAACTAACACAAAGAGAAAAATGAATAGATATTATGCATGATTTATAAATTTAACATCGTCAGATGTTTTAACTCTTAGCTCTTTGAGTATACAGTATGGTCATGCTAACTATGATAATATCTCTTATTTCACTATATTAACACAAATCTTCGGAAATTTCTACTTTTGATATAGTTGAGTAAAGCATTGACTATTCTATGCATATATTTGTATTTACTCTTAAAGTTTATCAAGAAATTTAATGTTGTTAAAAAGAAATTGTAAAGAATTTTTACATTCATCAGTTTCTTAAATTGCTCCTCAAGTGAGTTTTTCGATAATCAGCTTACACTAAAAATGGAGGTAGCTGTGTCGATAATCAAAAAGATGGAACATGACATGATCAGGTCAAATGAAAGCTCTCATCGCCAAACTGACAAGGTTAAAATATTGGTGGCTGTTGGCTTGTTTAGAGGGGGATATTTAGAATTTAAGTTTAGGTATAAAAAAATTGAATCAGGAAAGGTCATTATCGACTATTATAAGGACAAAACATGGTGTTGTTCGGGATGACTATGGGTTTTTTAGGATCTCTCTTTCATATGGTCCGAACGACACTGTTCTGTCCTTATAATAGAAAGGTACATTTTTCCTGTTGCTCATCGAAACAACTTTTCTTATCAACCGCTAGCAAAAAATTCACTCCACTATTTTAAGGACAAAACATGACGTTGTTCGGGCTCTATGAAAGAGGGATCCTATAAACCCCATAATCGTCCCGAACACCACTATGTTTTGTCCTTATAATAGTGGATAATGACCATTCCTGATTCATTTTTATATCTAAACTTAAATTCTAAATATCATCCTCTAGACAAGTCGAGAGCCTCTATTTTAACCTTGTTAGTTTGGCGATGAGAGTTTTCATTTTAAGTGAATATGTCCTATCTTTTTGATTATCAACACAAACGCCTCCATTGTAAGACATCGAAATTTCTTATTTTTACCTCAAAAGAAATATGTACTTTCCTTGAGTTTACTCTTTTCTTTTAGTATGAACATGATGAGCTTGAGGGTGTGGGTGTGGTTGAGGGCGTGGGTGTGGGTGTGGGTGTGGGTGTGGGTGTGGGTGTG